AGGACTGGTGTGAGTGTACCATGAGGCATTTTATGTGGTTGCTGGTGACTTTAACCACGTAAATCTGAAAGACTCCCTGACAAGATTTTATCAGCATGTGGCCATTCCTACACGAGGAAATAACACAATGGACAGTGTTTACACAAACGCATGAGACGCATACAAAGTCACACCCCGCTCCCCACCTAGGACTCTCTGACCCTATCTTGATCTTGCTGGCCCCTGCTTACCTCCTACCGCTGAGATGCTCCAGACCAATTCCGGTCTGTTTTGTATGCACAGACTGGCAGGTCTTCAGAGAAGCAGCTGTAAAAGAGGTGGAGCTAGACCTGGAGAAATACACACCCTCAGTCCTGGGATACATTAGCAGGTGTGCTGATTACATCACAACCATCAGATATGTTAAGAGCTACCCCAACCAGAAGTCTTGGCGGAATGCAGAGGTTGGCACCCTGCTGGAAGCCAGGGACACTGCCTTCAGGTCTGGCAACTCCCAGGGTTGACAAGAATAGAGCTGGTTGTTGGTATAAAGAGGGCCAAAGCCACATATGCACAAAGAATCCAGGGTCAATTCACTTCATATGAACCATGGAGCATGTGGAGGGGCATTAAGTGTGTAAAAGACTATAAAGGGTGAGGTGCACAATGCCCTAGGGACTCATCAGTGACTGATGCCTTCAACAAGTTCTATGCACACTTTGAAGGCCTGAACATACCACCCAGCACCAGACTCGCTGCACCCCCAGAAGAGGAGTTTCTCAGCGTGACCACAAATGAAGTAAGGAGTACTTTCAGGAGGATTAATCCTCATAAAACAACTAGCCCAGACAACATCACGGGAAGGTGCTGTTAGAGTTATCCTACTTTATCAGGCTGAGACCCCCGGTCTTGTCTGCACAAAGTCTGACTAGTTTCTGTACAGATGAAACGGGCCCAGCTGCTCTGAGCGAGCTTCCCAGGATCAACACCTGATAAGGAGTACTTTTTAATTTTGCTGGCTTACGTCACGTAGCTAGATTGCACTTTACACCCATTTTTCAATCATCAGAAACGGATAAGGCCAATGAGGTCACATATAGTCACCCCACTGATACACTCCAATAGGCTGTGCTCCTGGGAAGAAGGCGGAGCCTAGGGCCAAGAAAGAGGACGGAGGGTTGAGCCACGTCAGCTCTTCCGGTCCATGAGCTCCTTGCATGTCGAGTTGGAGACATTCAGCGCTGAAACTGTAACTTTTTCCTGAATAATGAACATTAAATTGGTAAGCGGAAATTATATATCTTGATATATTTGAGTTAAAGCAAGTTTCCTCTCCATCTGCAAATAAAAGAACCAAACGCCGGAGGTAGGGAGTTGGACCTGTTTCAGGGAAGGACCCAGTCCAGATTCTCACAGTGCTGAAAGACTGTGTCAATCAGCTCTGCAAGGTGCTGGCCGACATCTTTAACTACTCCCTCACCCTGGCCACTGATCCCACCTGCTTGAAGACCGCCATCATCATCCCAGTCCCAAAGAGCTCTACAGAGACTGATCTGAATGACTACCAGTCAGTAGCCCTCACCTCAATAATTGCTAAATGCTTTGAAAGACTGGTCATGACCCACATCAAAACAACCATCAACATCAGTGAGGACCCTCACCAGTGTGCATACCACAAGAATGGATCAACAGAGGACGCCATCTCCTCTGTGGTCCACACTGCTCTCACCCACAGCAGTGGCTCCCCCAGGGCTGTGTGCTGAGCCCCCTCCTGTTCACTCTGCGTCACAAACAATGATGAGTCCAGCTACAGGCAGGAGGTGGAACACCTGGAGAGCTGGTGCAAGAATAACAACCTTCACATCAATGTGAAGAAAACAAAAGAGATGGTCGTGAACTTCAGATGGAACAAACACACTTACTGGTAACCCCCACTGAACATAAGAGGATCTGCAGTGGAAGCAGTCTCCAGCTACAAGTACTTGGGTGTGCACCTGAACGACAACCTCAGCTGAGGTAACAACACTACCAGCCTGGTCAAGAAAGCCCAGGAAGCTCATTCCTCACCTCGTCCTTCTACAGGTGTACAGTGGAGAGCATCCTGTGCTCCAGCATCAACGTGTGGCATGGATGCTGCACAGAAAGAAAAATGTTTCAGAGAGGTGAAGGCTGCAGATGACTGTTGGAGTCAGTCTCTCCACTATCACAGACATCTAAACCTCTAGATGCAGAGGGCTGCCTGCATTATGAAGGAACTCCCTCAAATAGCACACACACTTTTTGCCTCGCTCCCCTCAAGTGTAGAAACACTAGACTGAGGAACAGCTTCTACCCCTGAAGCTGTTAAGACTCATAAATCCTAACCAGGATTATCACTGTGAAAAATCACTGTAATACCACTTGATTGTTGTGTGCTGCTGACTATCCATGTTGCTGATCTTATGCTGCTGATTTATGTCATGCTGTTGTGTTCATTCATACTCATCTGCTCACAGACTCCTGTTCGTGCTGCTGTTGTTCGGCATATTGTTTTTATACTATCAGTGCTTAGTGTATTCTTAGTTTAGCGTATTTCTTAGTTCATATCTTAGATCTTACTGTTTTTCTTTAAAATTTATACTTTTGTTGGATGAAAATGGGACCCTGTGTACACAATTTCGTTCCACCACATTTACCACACATGGTGCAAACGAAAAATAAAGAAATTTTGACTTTGATGAAATGAAGCAGAGGAGACAACAAACCGGAGGGGTTCTTCTACCTCCCCTTTCATCGTGAGAGCTCAGCAGAGGAGAAGTCACATCAGATTTATTTTTAAAGTACGGTAGTCAGTCAGTTACGACTGATACATATTTAAATAAAAGTTTTTAAAAAATTGTATACAGCAAATATATGTTTAAATACCTATACTGTATCTCATTTAAGCTCCGCACAGAGCAGAACAATGGGGGGGGGGGGGCTCTTTCCCCGTCCTCCCTCCTGCTCATGAGCATTGCTGAGGAGAAATCACGTCAAAGTTATTTAGAAAGTACATTTAAAAACAGCAAATGTAACCAAAAGTATTTAACAATAAAAATCAATGGTACTAATTTAATGAATATTTATTGTATTTTACCGGTACGATTTGACTTCCGGTCACATGACCTCAATAAGACTTCTGGGTAATATTTACCGGTATACAATTTTTAAATAATTTCGGTTACGTAAATGTTTGGCGCAGTTCTGTCCAGTGATTATGCTTAGTTATTGTGTTCATTTTGAAGGTATAATGGTTGTAACCATGAGTCAGACAGCAAAAATATTTTGCTTAAAAATATTTTGCTTAAAAATATTGACTTAAAAATATATTTTTTGCAGAATATCCAGATGACTCTGCAGTGATCGGGCGTATCAGAGATGGACAAGAAGCTGAGTACAGGGAACTGGTGGACCGCTTTGTGGCATGGTGTGGAAACAATCATCTCATGTTGAATGTGAACAAAACAAAGGAGATGATTGTAGATTTCAGGAGAAACAGGAACAGGTCCAACTCTATTTCCATCATGGGAGAAGAAGTGGAGGTGGTGGAGAGTTCACCTGGACAACAAACTGGACTGGAAATGCAACAGTGAAGCGTCTACAAGAAGAAACAGAGCAGACTGTACTTCTTGAGGAAGCTGAAGTCCTTCAGTGTTTGCAGCAAGATGCTGCATATCTTCTATAAGTCTGTTGTAGAGAGCGCTATCTCTTCTGCCATCATCTGCTGGGGGAGCAGCACCAGAGCAAGTGACTTAAAAAAGATCAACAAGTTATAAAGAAGGCTGGCTCAGTTCTGGGGACTCCTCTAGAACCTTTGGAGATGATTGTACAAAGAAGGATTCTTCATCAAATGAAGAACATTATAGACAACCCTCAGCATCCTCTTCATCAGACTGTCATACAACAACAGACTGTCATACAACAACAGACTGTCAT